GTATAGTGAACTATGATTGCACTGTAATTCAACCTGGGTAACAGAGAGACCCCATCGCTCACTCTCTCTCTCTGTAAAACAAACAAACAAAAAATTATGTCAAGCTGACATAATTCCAGCTGAAGGCAAAGATACAATGTTTTTGTTAGTCTTTGTCCTTTACTGTATACTGATGTCCTCTTGGTTTTTAAAAATATTTAACACTTTTTAAATATTAAATTTTAATTTTTTTAAATCTTAAATATTAAAGGAGGGAGAAGACACCAGAACAGGTCATCTTTAAATGCCAAAAAGCCTGAGCTCTGGGGGCCTAAAAGCAGGAAAGACTTAAAATACAAATGAGATCACATCCCTCAGGCCCAACTGGCCTTATTTCAGTTCAGCACATGAAACTTACTCCCACTCAGAGCTTTTTCATTTGCTCTCTGCTGGCTGCAATGTCCTTTCCCCAGTTCTTTTCATGGTTATCTCTTTATCATTCAAGGCTCAGTTCAAACGTCCCCTGCTACTGGGGACTCCTCCAATCAGACCATCTAATATGATTTCATTTCCATCATACTCTGGTATCATTACCCTGCTGTATTTTCTTCAGTGCATTACTCATCTATGCAATTATTTGCTTGTTTTCCATCCTCTCTGCTCGAATATACATTTTTGAAAATAAGGACCTTGTCTGCCTGTTTTCTGCTGTATCCCTAGTGCCCAACAGTGCCTGGCATGTGGCAGATGCTCTGAAAATAATTGATGAATGAACAATACTCTGGCAGGTTTTGGTAGCAGATGCTACATGTAAGGGAAGGGGAGAATATTTAAAAAGCACAACATAGGATACCTACCTTCAAGGAGCCTGCACTTGTATTAAGGAATAATATTAATAATCATACAGTGGTCTAACATTAAAATAGAATTGAGAGATCTCCACCTTTTACTTAGTTACAGGGTAAGGCAGAATGGTTTTGAATGGCAAACATTTGCATCAAGAATTTTCTCTTGTTATCTTAGTCTGTTATCTCTTAGTGATAGCTCTAGAAATCTATTTTCCTCATCTACTTCCTACCAGCCCTTGGTGTCCAGTGGGCTGGTAGGAATCAGCTCTACCATTACCTATAATCAGGCAACTCACTTCTTTAAAATATGGATAAGTTCATCATTCATCCATTCGTTCATTGAGTAAAAAGTTACTAAGGGCCTATCATGTGCCAGGCACCATACTAAGTGAGCACAGCAGGGAACAAAACGGGATCTCTTAGCTCAGGGAGCTAACATTCTAGTGATGGTGAAGGGCAAGAAACAACAAGTAAAGATACTGGAAATCACTGAAAGGCAAAGCATGGAACAAGGCTGCCAGACAAAACACTAGCACATTTCTCTTTGGTTCAATGGTGATAGAAGATTTGAAACGAGACGAGACGGGAGAAAATATTTGTTCATTCATGCAATAAATTAGTTATTGTGCACCTTCTATGAGACAGGTAATCTATGCAGTGCAGATGATCAGGAACAAAAGAGACAAGGAACTTCTTAACGAGCCCATAATATTCCAGTGTGAGAGAAAGATTTTTAAAAAAATCATTGATGAGTGCTGTACGGAGAAATAAAACAGGGTAATGTGACTGGTACTTTAGACTGGGGGGAAGATAAGGAAGGAGGAAACATTTAACCTAAGCCTAAATGATGAGACATAACTAGCCTTTCAAAGATTGGGCAGAAAATATTCAGGTCACAAGGAAAAACTGGTGCAACACATCCTAAGGCAGTGAAGAGCAAGGAAGATTCAAAAGACAGAGGAGGATAATGGTTGGGAGATAAGAGAGAAGCCAGGAGTCAGGTTGTAGGACTGTGTGGAGACTCAAGAGTGGACGCAGGGAGACCAGAGAAGAGGCTATTGTAATGTTGACCTAGACTAGGGTGGTGACAGGAAACACTATTAACTTTATGATGCAAAGTTTCCCTTTGAGTCACACTTGTTCTGTGATATTACCTCATTCCCATGGAGCAGGGTGGTGTAGGGGTGTCACTTTGTCAATAAAGGCCCCCAAAGCATCGGGTGCTGTGGGGTGTGTCTGAGTGTGCCTGAAACCAACCAACCATATCTACACTTTATTATTACTTTTTTTTTTTTTTGAGACAGAGTTTCACTCTTGCCACCCTGGCTGGAGTGCAATGGCGTAATCTCGGCTCACTGCAACCTCCGCCTCCCAGGTTCAAGCAATTCTCCTGCCTCAGCCTCCCAAGTAGCTAGGATTACAGGTGCCTGCCACCATGCCCAGCTAATTTTTGTACTTTTAGTAGAGACAGGGTTTCACCACGTTGGCCAGGCTGGTCTCAAACTCCAAACCCCAGGTGATCCAGCCGCCTTGGCCTCCCAAAGTGCTGGGATTACAGGCATGAGCCACTGCACCTGGTCTACACTTTTTAATTTTTGAAACTTTGCCTTGAATGAGCTACAAGTGCCAAGTCCAAGACAGGGAACACTTTTGAAAATAGGAAGACTTCAACCACTGAGACAACTACTTCGTGGTTTCACTTCCCCACAATGAGTATAAGACCTTAAAATGAAACGACTGGCTCTCTCGCAATACCAAGCTTGCCCATCTCCTACAGAGGAAGTTAAAAGCTGTTAGCGGGTGAAGGCAGGTGCAAGAGGAAGGGACTGGGACTGTGGTGTTGCATTCAGCCTCCAACATTTCCAACCATCCATTTACCCAGGCCAGGATCCCTAATTCTGCAAAAATGGAAGGGGGGAGGGGCGGAGGTAGTGGCAAATTCTTCCATGCTTTCACAGTTTTATTCATTTTGTTGCCAAACCCAAGATGTTTCCTACAGCAGCGGTCCCCACACTTTTTGGCACCAAGTATTGCTTTCATGGAAGACAACTTTTCCAAGGGGGTGGGGGAGGTTGGGTGGTTTCAACATAAAACTGTTCCACCTCAGATCATCAGGCATTAGATTCTCTTAAGAAGCGCGCAACCTGGATCCCTCACATGAGCAGTTCACGATAAAGGTCGTGCTCCTATGAGAATCTAATCTAGCTCCTGTGAGCTGCAGTTGATGTGACGGGAGGCGGAGCTCAGGCTGTAATGCTCGCTCGCCCGCAGCTCACCACCTGCTTGCAGCCCCGTTCCTAACAGGGCACCGATGGGCCTGGGAGTTGGGGACCCCTGCCTTACAGGGTGACTAAACTGAAGCTTACCCTTCACGCTTGCACTATTCAAGGAGAGGCATATCTGATCATTGTTTGCATACTGCAAAGCAGGCTGCAATCCACCCCTGGAGAAGAGGGGCGCGAACAAGCAGGCTAACGCGCCAGCATTTCTCCCTGCCAATCCCTCCCCCTTACCACAGCCAGGAGCAGGGTGGCGTCGACCTCGCACGGCCCTCCGGTTCTCCCACTAGGGACTCGAGGAATGGATCTCCCCAGGCACCGCCCTCTCCCCGTAGGAGAAGGGAAGGGGCACCCAGTTCCTTCGGCTACATCTTTGCAAGGGAGGACGCAAGTATAAATGCTACAAAAGCACGGATGCGCCGGGGCCCTGGAACGTGCATGCCCGGTGGTCATAATATTCCCCCCGCTCAGAGTTCCCCAGGCCTATAGGACGCCGGGAAGCCCCGGGACCGTCGCTACAGACAACCTCTCGCCAGCTCCAGGTGTCCAGCGTCTCCCCACGGGCGCGCGCTCTTCCGGGCGCCCAGGCGGCACCGGCGCACGATGTCCTCCGCCCCTTTTACCTTGTAGAAAGTGACTGTATCCAGGGGAAGGGCGCCCTTGGTGTGCAGGCCGCTGCCGCCATGCGGAGCGGAAAGGAGCAGGAAGCCCAGGAGAAGGGGAAGCAGCGGGGAGAGAGACGCTGCGCGGCGTAGGGCGGCAGCCATATCGCCGGGTTCCGCGAGGGGGGAGGTAGGTAATCTGTAGTGAAGAACGCCCCGAGTCAGCGGTCACGTGACCGAGGGGGGTTGAGCGGGCTCGCGCGCGCTCACGCGGACACCCCTGGAGGCTCCCGTCGTTGTAGGGTGAGAAGGTGGGGCCTCGTGAGGGGCGGGGAAAACTGCCGCGCACGCGTACTCGGCGAAGCTTGCGTAGGCCGGGGGTAAAAGGGCGGGGCCCCGTTGGGGGCGGGAAAATGGGCGGCTTCGTACGCGCAGTCGCCGAGTCGCTGCGGACCGGTCTTGTTCCGTTTCTGCTCCGCGTGAGGAGAGGAGCGAAGTGCGTGAGGAGACGCGGCAGCAATTGCGTTGCTGCCCTTCCTCTCCTTCGAAGATGACAAGGCCTACCATCCTTTCTTCCGGCCTTTGGGCTGTCAGGCATCGGTTGGGACCCGCTCCTACCTTCGGTCAGTCTGTTCGTCAAGTTCAGCCCGTATTCTGAGTCGGACTCTGTCACTGCCTTGACCCAGGCGGGCAGTGGCTCCGCGGCTTCCCTGAGCTGCTTGGCCAGGCTCGGCGGTCAGTTTGGCAGGCAGGGCCCTCTCAGGCCGACTCTGAGGTGAGCGCCTCCGCTGGGAGACGCCAGGCTCCTACAAAAACAGGGATCCGCTCAGCCAAGGCCCCCCCCCCCCCCCAGGAACCCATAAGCAATTCTAGTAATTCTGCTATGCAGATACTCACTCCGTGCTTGGCTTGTGCCAGACCCTCGCTTTGCCTGCGGGCCTACGGAATGGAGAGAAACAAGACAGTTCGGTGCTGAACTGTCTTGGGGGAGGAGGCGGCATAGGAATAATGATCTAAGCAGTGCACTGTAATTGCTGTAAAATACAGCAGTTATTCTGGCCGGGCGCAGTGACTCACACCTGTAATCCCAACACTTTGGGAGGCCGAGTCCAGTGGGTCACCCGAGGTCAGGAGTTCGAGCCCAGCCTGGCCAACATGGTGATACCCCATCTCTACTAAAAATACAAAAATTAGCTGAGCGTGGCGGTGCGTGCCTGTAATCTCAGCTACTTGGGAGGCTGAGGCAGGAGAATTGCATGAACCCAGGAGACGGAGGTTGGGGTGAGCAGAGATTGCAATTGCGCCACTGCACTCCGGCCTGGGTGACAGTGAGACTTAGTCTGGAAAAAAAAAAAAAAAAAAATTATTTGCTTATTGTAAAGACGCAGAGGTAGCCAGCCCCGATCAGGAGTGTCAGAGGAAGTTGTAGAAAGGAGGTGACTTTTTAAGTTGGATCTTGAAAGAAGAGGGGGCATGCATGAGGCAAAGAGAAACAGGACATTTTTAGCAACGGGAAAATCATGCACAGGCATGTTGGGGAACTGGTTGAGATGAATCTGTGTAAAGGTGAACTGGGGCAGCAGCTGCTGCCACCCTTTTTTCTTTTTTTTTTTTTTTTAATACTACTGAGCTTCTGTGGAGCAGATTCAAAAGGGTCTCACCAAGCTAAAAGGTTTGGAGTCATCAGAAGTTTTAACTAGGAGAGTGATTTTACATTTGTGTGGAGAAACATCATTCAGGTCAGCCTGGGCAACGTTGTGAAACCTCATCTCTACAGTAAGTAGAAAAATTAACCAGTTGTGGTGGTGTGTGCCTGTGGTCCCAGGCACTTGGGAGGCTGAGGCAGCAGGATCACTTGGACCAGAGAGGTGGAGGCTGTAGTGAGTGCCCTGATTGCTGCCGCTGCACTTCAGTCTGGCAACAGAGTGAGACCCTGTCTCAAAACAAAAACAACATTACTCAGGAGTGAAGGGAATGGATTGGAGGTGAGAAGACTGAAGGCAGGGTGGCCAATTAATTAGACTATGGTAGTAGTCTAGGTGGAAGAGGTTAAGGTCATGCAGTAGGACATAATACGGCTGAAGAAGTATGGATGGAATTGACAAACTTTTTAAGGGTAGAATTCACAAGATTTGATGAACAAATGCATGTAAGAGTAAGAGAATATATACAATGCATTGTAAGGGACTTACTGCTATAATTAACCACTGTATGTGTCCAAAATGTGTGTGTATAAATAGCCATCAGTGATAACAGGATCCAATCATGGACAACCAGTTTGATTGCGTAGAAATTTTGAAAGACTCGTGTGTGTGTGTGTGTGGCGTGGGCGGGGGGGCGGGGTGTTTGGGGAAGTTCAGAAAAATTTATTTTGAGTTTGCCCTATTTATGGCAGCCAGCTGCAACAGGAAGGGGTGGCTGGGGCTGCACACTCCATGGAGTCTGTGGGAGCCCCACCCCATCTGAGTTGAGGCAGGAACCCCCTGGTGCTGTTGTGGCTGCAGGACCTGGGCATCTCTGCAGCCTGCACCCTTGGGGGACCAGAAATACACCCTACCGCAATCCCTGCAGGCTCAGGGGTGTCTGCTCCCACCACCTGGCCTCTCTCTGCTCCCAGGCTCTGCTCCAATCTCAGAGCAAACTTGGGGCCAAGCCCTAGGGGTCATGAATGGCAACGGGAGGCAGATTAATTCCTGGGTGGAAGGGGGAGAGTCCCCAGTAAGGCCCCACATTCAGGCCAGGGAGGACCTGAAGACTGGAGTCCAGGTTGCCAGTCCTGCAGACTGGAGTAGGGACTCATGATGCCTCTTCTGGCCTGCCCATGGCTGCCCATGGACCATTTGGCATGCACTTCCTTCCCTCTGAGGTCCGTAAAAGCCCTGGGCTTAGCCAGAGCAGGGCAGAGGACTGCCAGAGAACCAAGAGGGCAGAGAACTACAGATCAACCAGTTGCAGAGAGGACCTACCCTCTCTGCTGAGAGCTGCAGATGACAACCTGCGGGCAGAGAGGAGCCACCCTCTTCAGGGTCTCCTCTCTGTTGAGAGCTGCAGACATTGGAACCACCAGGTGCAAAGAGGAGCTACCGTCTCCAGGGCCTCTTCTGTGCTGAGAACTGAATACTCAATGGATGACCTGCCCACAGAGAGGAACTACCCACTGCAGTTCTCCTCTGAGCTGTTGTAACACTCAGTAAAACTCATCTTTGTCTTGTTCACCCTTTACTTGTCCATGGACTTCATTCTTCCTGGATGCAGGACAAGAACTTAGGCAAAGGCACTGTGGCCACAGAGGTTTCCGGCCAGAAAATTGACACCCCAAAGATCCCGTAACACTATGAGCTACAAGACAAGTGATAGAAATTAGAAGAGGAGAAAACTATGAACTGAGGTGGTGAAACAAGACTTTATGTAATTGGTGGAAATAGAGTTAAGCCTTGGATAAAAGAACATTTGAGATAGAGAACAAGTAGAAAAGGAGCAGATGTCGGAATGAAAGTGATGCTTTGGGAGAATGACTGGCTTGCCTGGAGGGAGTTCTCAAAACAGGAGATAGTAGAACAGTTTTAAGCCCAGATTGGGTAGAATTTTGAAGTCAGACTAAGAATTTTCTGTTCTGTAGTCTATATGGAGGTATTAAGAGTTTTAAAATTTCTTTATAGGCTAGGCACAGTGGCTCATGCCTGTAATCCCAGCACTTTGGGAGGCTGAGGCGGATGGATCACCTGAGGTCAGGAGTTTGAGACTAGCCTGACCAACATGGTGAAACCTTGTTTCTACTAAAAATACAAAAATTAGCTGGGCATGGTGGTGGGTGCCTGTAATCCTGGCTACTTGGGAGGCTGAGGCAGGAGAATTGCTTGAACCCAGGAGGCAGAGGTTGCAGTGAGCTGAGATTGCACCATTGGACTCCTGCCTGGGCAACAAGTAAAACTCCGTCTCAAAAAAAAAAATTTTCTTTATAAAACATTTAAACTTCTAAAATTACTTACTTCTCAGTATAAATAACTTTGATTATACCTAGTTAGTAGAATTCATTAGCAGTGACTTTCTTGTCATGGTTAGAAGTAGGTTTAATTTTTTTATTTTTGTTTTTTGAGACAGAGTCACTCTGTCACTCAGGCTGGAGTTCAGAGGCATGATCTCAGCTCACTGCAACCTCCATCTCACGGGTTCAAGTGATTTTCCTGCCTCAGCCTCCTGAGTAGCTGGGATTACAGGTGCCTGCCACCACACCCATCTAACTTTTTTTTTTTTTCTGAGACAAAGTCTCGCTCTGTTGTCCAGTCTGGAGTGTAGTGGTACAATCTTGGCTTACTGCAACCTCCACCTCCCGGGTTCAAGCGATTCTTCTGCCTCAGCTTCCCAAGTAGCTGGGACTACAGGCACATGCAACCATGCCCAGCTAATTTTTTTGCATTTTTAGTAGAGATGGGGTTTCACCGTTTTAGCCAGGATGGTCTCGATCTCCTGACCTTGTGATCAGGCCACCTTAGCCTCCCAAAGTGCTAAGATTACAGGCATGAGCCATGATGCCTGGCCCCCTTTTTTTT